GCTCGGAAGCCGGTGCGTGGCAGGTCCTGGAGGACCCGAGCGGACTCAAGCCCGTAACCCCGTCTTGTAGGCAACGGACAACCTTCGCTTTGGCCTTCACCCGGCCTGAATGTCCCTTCTCAGATCGTGTGAAATTCGTTTTCTGAGATCTCAGAGTAAGGTTAATGCCACAAGCGCCACCTTTGCTTTGCCTACATTTCACATACCCATAGAAGATTTAATTGGGGGGGGGGGCTTGGAACATTAATTCACGTGGTCTGGACCTGCTTTGTTTTAGGCTGAAATCTGCCAATGTGCCTCTGGAAAGAGGCTCCCTGTTCTTCCTGGCTGCATCCCCGGGCCTGAAGTGCATCAGGGTACCCAGAACTGTGACTTTTGAGGCGGGGGTGGCTAAAAGAGTGATTATACAGCATCGGAAGGAGAAATCTATACCGGATCTGTACCAGTGGACCATTCATATGCACTGCAGGCCAAGATTCGAATTAAGATGTTTTTTTCAACAGACACAAGGAAGGAGAATTTTGAGCAATGTGATCAAATCTTTTACTAGTTATAATTTTCCAAGCTTTTCTCTTTCTTTGTTTTTATTACTTATTATTCTGATTATGTTGCATCACATTGTTAATATTGTAGGGGGGGTGCACGTGTGCGTATGTGTTCACTTTTTCTTTGGTTAATTAGTTTGATATAATAAAATTACACACGGGAGTACGTTACACAAAGTGGTTTTAAAGCTGCAACATTTACATTTCAGAACAGAAGAGAGGCCTGTAAAGAAAAGAAAGATGCAAAGCTGTAGCTTTCAAAAAAAGAAGTTAAAGCTAATGGAGGCGATGCTAGAAGAACAAAAGAAACTGAGCCGGGCCATGGAGGAAACCTGCAGGGAAGTGCGAAGGATTCTAGATCAACAGAACATTATCCAAGTCCAGAGTCTGCAGCTGCAAGAGAGGATGATGAATCTATTGGAAAAGATGATCACCAAAGCCAATGTTTAACTTCTCCCAGAAAAAAGCAATATTAATCTATTTTATAGAAATGGCTTATTTCATATCCCTAGGATAGCTCCTTCCTTCCAGGTAAATTGAAAGTGTAAAGAAGCAGCATGAGCATTGTAGGATAATTTTTAAAGAAATAAAACTTGGGCTTGATATATGAGTTTATTTTGGGGGACAGCTGGTGAAACTGCACAGCAGTGAATCTGGCCACAGTTTCCCACTTTGCTTATGGAGGAGAGATGTGCAGGCCCAGGGCTGGAACTGCGCAGTGACCGACTCTTTTTTTATTGCCTGCTGCTCTCCTAAGGTCGTTGAGGTTGTTGAGTTTGGGTGCTCAGCATCAATAGCAGCAAGGTTTTGTTCTGTTTTGTTTGTTTTGTTTTTTGAGCTTTAACCAAGCAAAAATAATTTCTCACCCCAAAGGCAAGGACACCCAATTTCAAAATTTGTAAATGGAAACATATTTTAGTCTAGATTTTAATGTGGATTTCCAAAGAATCTTGGACGTGGAGCAGAATATATTTTATCAGTTATGGGGAAACCCTTTAATTAAGAAAAGTGACATTTCTGACTCACTTGCCCATTCTGGATAGGAACACAAGATTTCCTCTTAGAATTCCTCACAAACGTAAGGTTGATGCTACCACAGACTACTGAGTGCTCACAACTATTCAAAATGGATACTCCGTAGTTTCCTTTCCACCCTTTTCACTGTCACAGCCCCATCCAGAACTCTTGGTGAAGCAAAGTCCTTCTCCAGCAAAGGAGCCAGAGAACCAGGGCCAGCTGGAGAAAGAGGGATCAGGCTCTTCTTCCAGAATAACATGTTTGATGAACTGCAGGATTTTCACATGATAACCTTGGCTGTGATTCTTCCTTTTCTTGGTTTCCATCATAGAACTTTGGGATGCTATCTGTCCATTGCATCCCAAATTCCTTTGATTCATTATTGGGAATCAGCATTTTCCATCTCCCTTTGGACTTTTCACAACCTTCAAAATTTTTACAAAATGTACTGCTCTGATACCCCTTGTTTCATAAAATTTGTAAGTTTCCCTAGAGATATGTTTGACTTCTGATTGTCCAATCTTGAACCCAACTGCATGCCTACCTATAGTCAACCCTTCCACTGTTACCTGCACTAGAGTTCTATATAAATTGGAAGAAATTCTTCCTTCTCCTCATTTAGCCATCAAATTTGTGGGAGTTGACCCTAAGCTTTCCTCCCAGCCACCAAACTACTGACCACCATTTCCCTGACAAAGAGATTGATGACCCACCATGGTGGAGACTGAATTTATTTTAGACAATGTGGCAACAACCAACATAATAAGTTATGATGCTTGACTACGTAGATGGGAACTGAAATACGTGCTTCATTTACGCTTCATCATCGGCACATCCATTGGGGCAAAGGATGATACCTACCATAGTAAAAGGATATCTAAATGTGGAAAGAAATGCATTTAAACCATAGCAAGTTAAAATATCTGGACTACCCTTAAAAATAAATACTGGTGCTGGTGTTAATTATCATCCATGCAACCATGAAGAAAATCTAAAATTTCTACAAATCAGCATGGATTTTCAGGCTAAGCTTACTTCATTTGTTTAATCAGTTCAGGTTTGAGGGAATGCTACATATATACCTTAATTTATCAAAGCACTTCACAAAGTACTGCATAACTTTCTAATGTGTAAGGTAGATAAATGTGTATTAGATGGCATGTCCATTATGTAAATCCTCAGTGGGCTTGAAAAACCATACTCAAAGAGTGATTATCAAGAGTTACTCATCAAACTAGCATGAATTATGGAGTGGAGGTACCACAGGTTTCAGTCCTGGAAGTGTACTTATAATAGGTGAGGAAATGAAGGGAATGCTGACAGATTTGGGCATGACATAAAATTAGGTGGGATAAGCTATCTTAGAAAATAGAAATACCCTTGGAATCAGCCTTAATAGGTTAGAGAAATTGGCTGAAAGTAATTGGATGAACTATGAGATGTGCAAAGTTATTCACATAGGAAACAGAAATCAAACACACATATGTAGGATGGGATTATCCTTGCCAATAGTAGTTATGAAAAGATCAGAATAAGACATAATTGCAAACTAAATATGAGCCAGCAGGGTGATGGGGCTGCCAAGAAAGCAATACATGTTTAGGCTACATGAACAGAAAAATGGTTTCTAAGCTATGTGGTACAATTGCCCCAACTGTCCTGATTTGTTCCAACCTTACTGAAGCCCCATGAAGAGAGACTGAAGGCAGAGGAAATGCCTAGACTAGACAGAGGGGAGTGGGGAGCAGTGAGGACAGAACAGCTGATTTAAGTTAGAGGGAAGCATATTCCAACTGAATGTTGGAAAAACTCCTAATGACACGAGTTCACTGTATCCCCAGAGATCTGGAGAGGCAGTAGCTTCGTCTTCACTGGATGTGTCCGTGGAGAAGAATGTTCTCATTTGGATTCCTGGGATATAGTAGGGGTTGGATCTGGTGCCCTAAAGGGTCCTTTCTCAATGAAGTGTCTGTCTTTGAGCGGGGAGCACAATGGCCAGGCTTACGGGTCAACAGATGCTTCTGCATCAAGGCACTGGAGCTTTTAGCAGCCTTCAGATCCATGAAGGTTTCCTGATGATCCTCTTTCATTGCTCTGTACAAGTGAGTTCCAGCAAAGGCATACATGGTGCACCTCCTAGGTCTTAATGCAGGTGGAAGAACTGGTTACTAACCTATGACAGCAGTTCTACAAGTGGTTATTGAGGGATTCACATAGAGGGGTCATACGCCTGCGCAGGGCCCCATTCAGAATCTCTGAGACCTTACAGAATAGTTTGGCAGATTTGCTTCCTGGGATACTAGGTGACTGCAGTAGCTCCATCCAAGGCTTTTCTTAGCAGACCTGGAGGTCACCTGAGGCAGGGTAGGAAGGCAGGTTATGTGAATTCACAGATAACTACTCAAAGTAACCAGTCCTTCCTCGCTGTGGACTCTGTAATTCACATCCAAGCATCCCACCTTGAAGACCGTCAGGATAAATGGTGTTAGCTACCTCGAGTCACTGTGGTGAGATGGGCAGCCATACAAATTGAGTAAATAAATACAGATGACCAAAGACAGGATAGTCTTCCAAAGGCTGCATCCCTCCAGCAGTGGAGATTCAGTCCATAGATTTCTTTGCAGGAACCTATTCAGCTGCAAAAGTGAATTAATATAAGCAAGTTAGTAACCCTTGCCCTTCCCTTATTCTTTCCTCTATTCCCTGTGTTCTGAAGAACTGGGTTCTTTGCTGTATTCACCACAGCTTAGCCAGATTTATGTAGCTTTTCTAGAAAAATAATGGGCAGGATCAGTAGAAGACAGGTCATCTGAGAGTCTAAAGAAGACCCAGGCTGTCCATACTAATCCTGAAAAAGAAATGGGTCCTCTACTCTGGAGCTGGGTCTGTTATTGTCAGCTCCTGAAGGGCTCACAAGAAATCAGAAAGAAAGGGATGCAAATGACTTCGCAGACAGGACTTTTATGTCTGGGACACACCACTCAGACAGGCCTGGGAGGGCCATCTGGCTGTCACCAAACTATGACACTATGACTGTCTTTGCTGTCTGCAGTTAGCCAGCATCAGGGCAACAAGGCATTGATATTCTGCTATGGACAAGGAGGGTCATCAGGGCAATCAACTGTTTTCTAGGGCTGCATTCTGGCAGGCGACATCCTTGCTCTTCTGTGCCAGAGAGCCGCTAGCCAAGCTGAAGCCCAGCAGCTCTGTGGAGCTGTGGCTCCAGGAATTTTTGATAGGGGAGCTTGACAGTGTGAGACAGAGGGGGGAAAGGCAGTGGCTGAGAGTCCGCTTAATACACTGAAAATACTTTTCTTTCTGTTTCTGATTGACAGTTAATGAAATTTAAATTCAACCCTGATCTCCAAGAATCTCCTTTCATGAAAAATCCATGCTCTAATGCTTTGACATGCTTGGTTTCCTGCTTGAAAACAGCACAAACCTTAGCCATGCCTGAAGAAAAACTAAGGTGAATGAACAAAGCGACTTCCAGAAGCAAGAGAGTCGGAAGATGGGCTGCATGGCTGGAGTCCAAGCACCAGCTGCAAGCCCGTGCTGAAAAGAGGGGTCCAGCTCAACACCTGGACAAGACTCTCAGGAGACTGTGCTGAACAAGAGGTGGGAAAGCTGGAGCTGAGGAGATGGAGACGGCGATGCTCCCTGCGGGAGAAGCAGGAGGTATCTAGAGATTCCCCCCACCACCCACCCCCAGAAGATCAGGGAGTGAATCGCTGACCAGGCCTGCTGGTTTCCTCTCTGCCATGAGCCGGGCGTTCCCCATCTAATCCACTTGCCTTCACCTGAGACTCCAGGATCTCTCAAAGGATAACTAAATACATTGAATGATCACATACCGCTGGGAAAAATAAGTATGGAATTCTAAAGGAAGGTTGCTCTTGTACTTGCAAATACTGTAGTATGTGAAAAAATACATGAGAACTATTATATGCAACAAATGTATTTATTATGTTCTGTTGTACAAGGTATAGTTCTTTCCCAAAGTATAAATACTAAAATATGGTTAGTTTTAAAAGACATTTAAGAGAGACAGAAACTTTATTTATATTTTAAATATAATGTGAAGGCATTTTCATCCCATTCTAAAATTATAAATTTTCTTTACACTTCATTATTTGAATTTAAGAAAAAAATATTCTGGGTCATATCACAATCAGTGATAACAATAAGTGAAATGGATATTAAATCTTCAGTTTATGCTGACCAAAAATCCCATAGTTTGATTTTCTAGTTGAATTTGTGTGAATAAAAGAATTGGACTGAATTTGGAATGATGGCACCAAATCAATGATATTACGAAAATACCAAAAGAAGCTCAGTTGTTGGGTTTGGAATACGCAGACATGCCATACTGTGTCTGGTCGGGGCCTGGACAGGTTGAGTTGAGAGCAAAGCCCATGATGGAAGAATAAGGGGAGGTATAAATGTTCTCTCTGTAGACCGGGCGTAGCTGGGTAGAGGCTGAAACTGAAGAGGGGCTAAGGAGAAACCCTTCCCGTAAGGGGGTGGGGGTAATACGGGGCCACAAGAAATAGAAGACAGGGACGGATGGATGGGACTATGCAGCAGTGCATTGGACATTCATCTCAGCGCATAAAGGAAGACGTGTCCATGCTTCAACCCAGAAGAGAAAAGTAAGAGTTACTGGCTGGACTGTAAGGAGCAGAAGCTAACCCAGCCAGTAACCGCCCCAAAGTCAATGACAGAGGACCAAGCTCAAGGGACACCCCTGCCTGTTGTCGCAAGAGCAGCCTTGCCGGGGGAGGCTGGAGCCCTGCCTCCGTCTGGAGGGCTGGAAGTAGGTTCTCACACTGAGCCACCGAGTCTAAAAGGCCTCTTTCACGCATATTTGAGGTATCTCCTGGTCCTCCTCCTGATCGCTAGAAACTTATTCCCTAATAATGAATGTAGGCAGCTGAATGTCTGTTATTAACACAGGCAGACAACAACTCTTACGTATTTGACACATATGTATTAAGGGACTTTTAACATTGCACAACATTTTCAAAAGGATAAGTGTTCACGCAGTAGAATAATAAAAAGTCATGTATAGAAAGTAACCGTAAGAAATCGACTCAATAAATGTATTAACTAAATCAGCGTGGGCATTTGGGTTCTCAAGTCTGTCAGAAGATGGAGCAGGGCGAGACCCTCAGGCAGCAGGAAGAGGAGAGGGTTGAGGGCCAACAGCAACCGCAGTGGGAGGGAGACCAGATCTTTTCCCCATTCTCCTCTGCCACATCCTCTTACTCGTAAATGGGTTCCTATTTGAAAGAATGAGGGGTAGAGAGTGTGGAATCTGGATGTGGCCTCTCTCCACGGGCTTCTTTGGAAGATTTGTCCAGATACAGTTTCATCCTGGAGAAGCTCTGCCTTCTGATCGCAAGACCTGACACCCCCTTGATGGCACATGAGCAACCGATCCGCACACAGGTACTCTGAGCCGGGTTGTAACCCTTTGTGTGAAGGCAGAAAAGAGACAGCAGTAGCCATCCATCCCCCCCCCCGCCCCGGCTATAATTTCCTCTGGATTGTCAGGGAAAGAAAGCGTGAGCGGAGCCCCTCTGGGCAAAATCATTGTTAGTAACGACTGGGTGCCAGACCCGAAATAGAGATGGAGTAAAATGTTTGAGAAGAACGCTTTGCTAGAGAAAGATTGTATGAGAGATCTGAAAACACAGCTGAGAAATAGTGAAGGTGAGCAGTAGTGAGAAAACTCAAACCCCTCCTCAGAGCTAATTAGTGTGTAAAGACGTTGGCACTGCACGGTGCTTCTCGCTCGCTGAAGCCAAGGCTTGGCCGTTGAGACCTCCGCTGAGCTGCCGAGGAAGACGCAACGGCCACGACCTCCAGGAAGTGACCTCACCCCTGTCTGGTCTAGACCAGCAGCCCCAAGACAGTCCTGAGAAAGAGTACTTGCGTTCGTGCAGATGCGGCTCCCCCTGTCCAGACTTAAGGAGATGGGCACGGGACCTAAGAAGGTAGCAGCGTGAACCTGGGTAGGTGGCGCAGGGGTGGCTATGCCATTTCAAACAAGGAAGGTAAAGGAGGATTGCTCTGGGGGGAGCAGAGCCCCAAGGGGGACAGAAAAATGCAGCCATTAAAAAGGAACTCTGGACCTCATTGATTTTGACCGGTGAGGTTTTTGAAATAAATGTTTATATTCCAGAGTGATGGGGCAGCTTTCCAAAGCTCAGAGCTGGAAGTGTTAAGAACAGAACTCGGTGCCCAAAGCGAAACGGAGGGCCTCTTTAATCTTGTTCTCCTTCTTCAAGGCATATATGAGTTTGTTCATGACTGTAAATGGTCTTTTTTAAATATTATTTTGTATGTTTATGTCTTTTTAAATTTGATATGGGTATCTTGTAATATTGCTTTGTAAAGATCATTTGTTATATCCCTTTTTAATTAAAAAAAGAACCATCTTTTTAATTGATCCATTATACATAAATGGTCCTAAATCAATATGTTTGTTCCTGGGGTTTATTCTATTGAGTTTGGGTTTGGGTTTGGAAGCTGCCCCAGTCCACGTCCCCAAGATGACCAGTGAGAGGACCAGCCAAGCTGACCTTTCCTGCGCTGCACATCGGAAGTCCATCGAGAAGGGGAGGCCTGCGGGCGCCACAGCACGGAAGTGGGCCACGGACACGGACGTCGGTCCTCCTTGCAGGGCGCCTTGGATTTTGAAGTCTGTTTTCTCTAGTTTTGCAGCACCAGGAAAAGAAACATTCAGTAGAAATAGCACTTCGTATTATAAACAGGGACTACGGAAGTTGTGATGTTGGTAGCACGCGAAGGCAATCCGTCCCTATAAGAAGCCCGACTTATCCTTTTGGCACGGGCTGTATCTCTTGGTTAATCCAGTTGACGTATTTTGTCACTTTCGTGTAAACACCCGGCTTCATGGCCTTGCCGCAGCCATCGCCCCAGCTGATAATGCCATAGAGGTAAAACACTCCGTCCCTCTCACAGGCCAGAGGACCTCCCGAGTCTCCCTGTCACAAAGATGAAAACACAAAGATAAATTGAATAGCAACGGGATTTCACCATCCCATCCAACCGTCCTGTTTCACTTCTGACGGGTGGGGTAATGGCTTCCCCTCCTGGCATGGGTAACCTGCAGCCTCTCCCTGAAGATGGAAATGGCACGAGGGCGCGCAGGAGGGTTTGGAAGAGTCAGATTCTGGAAATACAAGTGCACATCCTTCCAGTGAGAAAAAAGGGGCTGCTGAGCAGACGATTCTGCACGCTCAAGAGCTTTTGATTGCAGTCAAAGTTAAAATGGAAATGTGTAGAAATGAAAGACGTGTGTAAATCACCAAGGAGGCAGATCAGCATGAAGCTAATCTGCAGGAAAAAACCCCTGAAAGGCTAAAGCACAAAAGGAAATTAGACCCACAAGAGAAGACAGAAGCAATAAAAGGGGCTCTTTTGCCCATGTCAGCGGCAAAACCAGAGGCAAGTAGGTACGCTGACAGGAGAGGACGAAAGGAGGTCGCAAGAGGTAAAAGCGGTCGGGGCCGAGCCCCCAAACTCTCGGTCCTCCAGTCTTCCTGCCTAAGGAAGCTGCATTCAAAGTGAACATGATCCAACAGGTGATGCAGCTGGAAAATAAAAAATGAATAAATAAATTAAAAAAAAAGAATTAAAGAATTCCTAGGCTGTCTCAGCAGAGGTACAGTGCCAGCATTCCTTCACTGTCCTCCCTAACATGCACAGCCCAGAACTGGATGCAAGGTGGTCGATGGTCTAACCAGGAAGGCAGGCAGGCAGGCAGGCAGGCAGGCAGGCAGGCAGGCATCACCACGAGCTGAGCTTCAGCAACCCCCCCCCCCACAAGGCTTCTTGGGGTACAGCGAAAAGGTCTGGGAAGAATTGCACATTCCGGCTCCGTTCAGGATTCGAATTGATCCGAAATCAGTAAATGAAACATCCAGCTGGGCCATGCTGTGGAATCAAAATGACTGATGTTACGGAATCTCAGAAAAAGAAACGAGTAGAATTGGAGTACCTTCTACAAATCAGTACATTTTTAGGCTTAAATTGAAGGGATGTGCAGCAACAGCACTCAGACCCGTGGCTAGAAGCCCTTGGAAAATCACTGATGTAAGTGAAAGTGACAGATCTCAGCAGCGCCAGCACGATTGGCCGGCTGACAGGAACCCCCCCCCCAGTTAAATTATAATTTGAAAGAAAATTTTTATAAAATGATGTACTGGTGGTACATAACCCCTGATAAATTAAATAAAAATGTATAACACAATATCGAATGTATGTTGGAAGTTTAAAAAGGAAATTGGTACTTTACACCATATGTGGTGGACGTGTCCAAAAGTCAAAAAATATTGGGAGTCAGTACATAG